CATAGAAGAAGATCTCTTTAATATTATGATGTTTCAGCCAAATCTAATTATTAATATGAAAAACCTTTCTTATGGATTCTTAGAAAACTTGTTGGTGATCCTAATCTAGTTTTGGTAGAAGGAATTGCCTTACCTCCACCTGAAATTATCATGGATTAAGCTCATATTGATCAAATGTAGAAAGAATTAGAAGAAGTTGAAAATGCTTAACTTCCTGATGAAGAAGATGATGAATTTAAATGATCTAATTTTTTGTTTAAATAAAAAAGGAAGAAAAAATTTTCACAATTTATTAATTTCATATTTCATTAGTTTATTTTATTTTTTATTTTTTTTTTATTTTTTTTTTTATTTTTTTTTGTTATATATTTTTATTGTGTGCACTAATTTTATTTATTGTTTTTTTTTTTTTGTTCTTTTTATTTTTTTTAGTATCTTTTTAATTATTATTTTGAAACATAAATTTAATTAAAAAGAACTTTAAATTAAAAAATATACAATAATAATCAAAATTTTATAATAAATTATAAAATATTAAAGTTATTTATTATAAACTATAATAATTTTTTTAAAAAATTAAAATAATAATTAATTTTTTTTAAATGAGAAAATGTAATATAAAATAAAATATAATATAATGATTCCGTAAAAACCTTATGTAATTTGTACAAACATAAATATTACTTTTTTCTTATTCTTTGTTTTATTTTTTTTATAATTTTTTTTTTAAAAATGAATTTTCATAAAAAATATTCAGAAAAATAATTATATCCTTTTTTAGTAATAAAATTATAGAAAAAATAATATTAAACCTTTTAAGATAAATATAAAGTTTTTTAAATTTGTATAAAATGTATCAGGTATAGATTAACAAGTAAAAATTCTATAAAATACAAAAGAAATTAAAAATTATACCATAAATCAATTAAAAATAGAGGTAAGAAAATTGAAAATAAAAATTAATAATCTGGAAGAGTAATAATCCAATGTTAATATTAGAATTTATGTATAAATATAAGGAATATGCTAAATTTTATTATAAAAAAGTGATAAATTCATTATAATAATTTTTTTAACTTTTATGTATATATTTTCATGAATTATTTTAAAATTATATATATTTACAAATTAACATATTTAACATAAAAATAATTTCTTAATAAAAAAACTCAATAGAATTAATGATAAAAAAAAATATGCTGAAATAGATAAAATTCCCTAAAAAAATCCTGATTAGAATATAAATTATGATCTAAATTAAATTTTTGATTTATGGGAATAAGTTTAAATAAAAAAATTATTACAATTTTCATATTAATATGAAAAGTTATTATAAAATAGTAAATTATAATTTATTTATTTATAAATTAATAATATATAAAATATAGATTTTTATTAATTAAATTAATTTCTTTTATTATGATTTAAAATTATTTTTATTTAATATTATTTATAATTAAAAATATTTTTATAACTATTTTATTTTTTATTTATTATAAGTATTTAATTACTATTATATTTTTTTATTTATTAAAAATATTAGAAATAAAAATAATCAAAATTTTCTTATATATATATTTTTTAATACTTATTTAATTTTAAAATAAAAATTACATTTAATATTTAGAATTTCGTTTATTTTTTATTTAATTCATAAAATGCCATTTTTTTATATTTATTTAAAAATATATAAAAATTGATTTTTCGCATATATTTATTTTATAAATTTTTATATTATTATTATTATTTTTAAATAATAAAGACTTTTAATATATTTTGAATATAAAATTAATAATTTTTAATATTTTAATAATTATCAAAAAATTAATGAAATATATATTTTAAGTTAATAAAAATAATTTATTAATAGTAAATTATAAATTAATAAATTTTTTAAAACATATAATATTACATTAATATTTTAAAATTTAAATACAATTGTATGTTTAAAAACTTTTAAATATACTTAAGTTTTATATATATATTTTCATATATTTATTTATATTATATATATATATATATATATATATATATATAAATAATAATATAATATTTAAATTAATAATTTATTAAAATGGATATATAAGTTTATATATAACTATATTTGTTTTATTAATAATTCTATATATTTTGTTTTTTTCAAAAAAAAAATTGTAAAAATAGTTTATAATAATATATAATATCTAAAATAAATTTAAAGGATATTTAAAATATAATATAATTTAATAAATTAATAAATTAAAAATTTCTATAAATATTATAAATAAATATATATTAATATTCATTTTTTAAGTTATTATAATATTGTTTTTAATGATTCATTTAATATTTTTTCTGAATGCTTTTAACAATTTTAAATGTCCTTTAATCCTAAAATAGATTCTTAAAAACATTATTCTTAAAATAATTCTATGTATTTAATTTTATACCAAAATTAAGATTATTAGCGTTATAATTTTTCGCTTCTTTTTTCTATACAATCCACATATTCTTCCGCATTTTTTTTTTTAATACATCTATTATAAATCGAGTTTTCTTTTTCATTTATTTTTTAATTAACAATCCTGAGTTTTTTATTTAAAAAAATTATAAAATCTTATTAAAATTCCATTTTTATTAATAAAATTTTAAGCTATATTTTTTTTATTAAATAATACTAATTTTAAATAGTTTTTTGTACTTTATTTTTTAATATTTTATAATTTATATTAAAAAAAAAATTATTAAGAAAAACAATTATAAAATTAAATTTCTTAAAAAATAAATAAAATAAAACTTATTATATAGATATATAAATATATATATATATTTATAATACTATATATATTTATTTTTTTTAATTTTATTACAATCAAATTATATAATTTTTAATAACTTATTATATTTATTCTTAGCAAAACTATCATTAAAAATAACATTGTATAAATTTTTAAAAATTATAACGATATATAATAATATATTTTGTAAATTTTTTTTTTTTTCTAATTTTATATAAAAATATTTAATAAAATTAATAATTATTAAAACTTTTTTAAACATAAATTTAAAAATAAATAAAAAAAGATAAGTATAAACTAAAAAAAAATGTCTCATCCTCCTAAACCACCACCAATCCAAATACAATGGTTAATATACCCATGTTCTCATTTTTTATATTCAATAATATCAATAACATTAATATATTTTGCATACTAATTATAAATAGAACATTTTTAATAGTTAGAAAAACATTAATAAAACAAATTTTAAAAAGGCTTTATAATAGATATAAATTAAGTAGAAGGCGATTAATGTGAAAACGTAATTAATTCATTTTTAATATATATAAACAATAATATTATATATGTATATATATAAATATATATATATATATATATATATATTTTTTTATATATATATATCAATTTTTTTTAATCACATAGAATTTTATTCCAATGTTTAATTATAAATGGTAAGGAACATAAAATGCATGTAATTGTATTTTATATGATAATCCATATTAATCTCCCTAATCAGACGGTGAATTTTATTATTTGAGAAAAAAATTGAAAAAATAATCTGATAATAATGATTAAATAAAACATTTACTATCCAAAAATAATTTATAAAATAAAATATATATAGGAAAATTATGCAACGATAAATAAAAAGAAGTAGGATGCACAGATATACCCGAAAAACCTTCTTTAGAATTCCATAAATGGAAAAAAACACTAATGTGGTGCATAAACTATATTCCTCATCTAACTCTAACTGAATTACAAAAAAAATAGACACCAAAACCCAAAAATGCACAGATTAATAGAACTATATTCTATGCGGAGATCCTAAAGATATCTCTTATTAATATTGTTTTCCTTCCATATATCAATAATGTCCTATAAACGGCATATATATTGGTCATGATTAACCCACAGATAATCTCTCTTAATATTTTTAGAATCCTGGAGTGCAAATATCCGAGAAAAATTAGTTATTTTTTAGCCGAAATTTACCTAAAAGCCTCCCTGTTTATGATTTTGTAATTTCTGAAGATTTTGTATGTAAAAATAACCAATAGGAAAACATATCTAAATCCCATAAAGATTATTTTTTATTAAAAAACTAACGAATTCCGTGTTTAGAAAAAGATAAAAAATATATGCTTTTAGATTAATAAGGTGAATAGAGTTTTTTTTATAATAACCAAGCTAGTTTTTTAAGAAATGATCTTCCAGGGTTTATTTTAAGCAATAATTATAAATATGGATTGTATATGAAAAATCATGAATCTTTTTTTTGGAAATGTGATGAGGAAAAATAAAGATAATACGAAAACAATTACTCGGAAGTTGAAAATTAATTTAAAAATTAAAAAAATGTATTCATAATAAGTATTATTATAGGAATAATAGGTACTATATTTGCTATTTTGGAATTTCTATTGATTAAAAATGTTAATTTTGCAATAAATATTAAAAATGTAGTTATTTTCTGGTTCCCTATCTTTTAAATAATATGTTAATTGATACTATTCCCTTTTTTAATAATAAGTTTAAATTAATAATATAATTATATATAGTTTATAAATACAATTTAAAATTAAAAATGTTCTGATAATATATAAGATTTAGTTGAAAATTCATAAAATTATTCGGGGAAAATAGAAATATATAACAAAATATAAATAATATTACTTTCGTTAATTTTGCTTGAAAATTTAATTATTTTTGGTTAGAATTTATGCGAAGGAAATAATTCTAATTCAAATAATTCAATAATAGATAAAAATTAAAAAAAAAAAAAATAGAAAGAAACAATTGATTTTTTTATTTAATATAAATAATAAATAAATAAATATATAAAATAAATAAAAGATAAATATAAATATAAATATAATTATTTTTTTATTTATTTATTTATTAATTTATTTTTTATATATATTTATAATTTTTATTTAACTCAATTATCTATTATATTTTAATTATCTTTATAATGAAATTATATTAATTTATTATAATTATTTTACCATATTTTCATTCTTTTTTAATTTCTTTACTAAAAAATAACAAACTCTACTAAATATATTCGATTTTTTTATCTTATACTATTTTTTATAAATTAATGATATTTTTTATGAAGTAATCATTTCTATTATTTTTTTATCATTTCTATTATATTAAATATGTTTATAACCAAAGTTTTTAATAATAATTTTAAATTTATTGAGTATAAGACCAAATATAATTTAATTTCCTTTTTATAATTCTTTTACTATTATAAAAATTACTCTTTTATATTTTCCTTTAGATTTCTTTATTTTAATATAAGTTTTTTATTTTCCAATATTATATTATTTTTTTATTATAAAGTATAATTGTATTCTTATTTAATTTTATACTATAAATAGGATTAAAGGCTTTTAAGGTCACCAATATCTATAACATATTTTTTGGGAACAAGGATATCTTATATATATTTATTGATTCAATTTATTTTATTTTCTGATAATAAGTATTTTAATAACATATTTAATTTTTTTTTATTTTTATCTAAAATATGTATTTATATACAAAATAAATAGTAAACTTTATAAGATTTATACTAAATTTATACTAAATACAAATACACAAAATATATATAAATATTTTAATTATTACATCTATTAATTTATAAACTAAAAATAATAGGTTAAAAAACAATAAATTTATTTTATAATTATTTATTTTTAATAATCCAAAAAACTATTTTTCCTCTAAATCAACTTTACTAAAATACTAATATTTTAAGGATTAAAAGTGATTTTTAGTTTTGTTTTAATTTTTAATATTACAAAAATTATGATAAAATAAACTTTTATTATATTAAATAATAATTATGTTTTATAACTAAATGTATTATAAATTATTTTTTTATATAAATATTAATATTTATTACTGTATTTTTTCTTAATTTATAACTAATAATACAAAGATTCTAAAATAATAATTAAAGATTATATAAAATGTATTTTATTAATTTTTTTTTTAAATTAATTCTATTCTGTATAATATAATAAATATTATTTAAAATGATCGTATTAATAGTTTTATTATTATTAAAATTTTGTCTTATTTATTATTTATTTAAGAATATATTTAATTAATATTATATGTCTTAATTATTAATATTTTATAAATTTAAATTAAAAATGTATTTAAAATTTATTAATTTTAAAGAGCATATATAAATAGTTATAAATTAATTCGAATAATTTTTATATTTGATTTGCATCTAATTTTTATTTTTTTTCTTCTATATATTGAAGAATAATAATATATATATATAAAATATGTATTTTTTAATTTTTTTCAATTAATATGAAAGTAATTTTTACTTAATTATCCATTATATTCTTTTTTTATAAATGTTATTGCAATTTATTATTATTATAATATAAATACATTTATTTTTTTTAATAAAGATAATAGTTTCTTTACTAAATTTAATTATAAAAAAGTATTGAAAAGACATAATTAATTTTTTTTAATTTAATAAAATTAATTTTTTAATATCCTTTTTCTAATTATATTAATAATTTCATTTTAATTAAATTAAAAACAAAAAATAATACTTAAAAATTATTAATAAATAAAAAATAATAATATGATTTAAACATATAATAATACTAAAATTAATATATATATATATATATATAATTTCACAAAAATAAAAAATTCAATAAATAAAATATTTATTGAAAAAAAAAATATACTTTCTCTAATTAATTTTCAGCTAAAGAAATATAATAAGAAAGTTAACATAACACCAACTTAAAATACTCCAATAATACCTAAAATAATATATTTTTTTTAAGGTGCTAATTCTTTAATATCTCTAAAATATATTTTTTTATTATTATAACTAACAAAAAATAGAAATATACCCAAATATATTTATAACAATAAATACTGTAGAACTAAGTAAACCATAAATGACTGATATAACTTTTATATACTAAAAAAAAATATATATATATAGTATTTTTTTTTATAAATATATATAATATTTTTTAAATGTTTCTTTATATATATTTACATATAAAGGTATCATATTCATTAATGTAACAATGACAAAGCAAGCCATAGAATATCCATAAAGACATATCATCTATAAATTTAAATATTTTTATTTTTAAATATATATTTTATTTTTACTTCAAAAATAGAAGTACTTCCTCCAAAACAATTAATTAGAATTGATAATATTATAGGCAATATTATACCTATACTATATATCTATAATAGAATAATAATTATCTTATTTATTAATTTTCAAAATATTTTTACTATTGATGCCGCTATAGGTAAGAAAGTAAAATTAACTTTATAATTTTGAGAATTCTTAAAAATAAAGCAAAAAAAAAATATAAAAAAAAAGATTTTAAATATAAAAAAATTAAATATTGTATTTTTAATTTACTTAAATATATTGAGATAAATTTCCGCAAGAATAAAGCATAAAAACAACTGTTGTTAAAATCCAAAAAGGACCCCATCTTATTTATTTATTTTATGTTAAATATTATTTATAATATAATATAATTTTATTTTAATACAAATCAGGATTTTATTTAATTATATTCAAAAATTCAGGTTTTGTTGGGACAAAACAACATTTAATTCTCTTAATAATTTCATTGCTTGTAATATTAAAATATGGTTAGTAATATCTTTATTTTTAATATTAATATTTTGTTATATAATAAAAAAATAGAATATATATATATAATACTCAACTGACAAAATGGCACAGCATGATTTTTAAAATTACTTTTTTTTAATATATATTAAAATAAATTATTATTTATTTATAATTTTTTATTATTTATAAATAATACTTATTATTCCTCTTTGTTCATTTTTTCTTAAGGTTTTTGAATTTCATCTTCTTTTACAGTTTCGATATCTTGCTATTTATTTTATTCATTAGTATAGCCTTAGTAATTAAAATTCTTTTTTAATATTTAAAATTATATCTATTACATTTTAATTTATTAATTTACATCTGCGCCATATAAGACTTAGTTGTTACCTTCGTTTTCTTATTAATAATCCATTTTTTTCTATTTTTTTTTTTTTTTCTTTAAAAATTTTGTACTTTTATAATTAATATATTTTATTATATAAAATTATTTATAATATAATATAAATTTATTTAATTTTTTCTTTAAAATTTTTTTGTATTTAATATGAAAATTTTAATATATTATATGTTTATTTATATATAAAAATTTATTTTTTTTATAAATAATTATATAATTCAAAATAAAAAATAGAAGAAGAAAAAAAAAAAAAAACAAAATATTAAAAATAAAAAACTTATAAAAAAAATGGTAAAAAAAAATTAATAATATAATATAATATAATATAATATAGAAAAAATGAACACTTTAAATAAAAAATCGCAATAAATTTATAAATCAATAACTTATTAAAATAATAATAAATAAATATTAAAAAATTACAAAAATCATTATTTAAAATAAAAATTCTAACTAAACATAATTAACAAAATAAATTAAAAAATAATCAAATAATATATATATATGTATATAATTATATATATAAAAATATAGGGTTTATGGACATGGACTATAAGTTAAATGTTAACTCCTAAATTCTTTTTACATTTAAAGAAAGAAGGATTTCTAAAAACCTGGACAAGAGGTCACAAAGGACCAGGTAGACACTCACATTACGTAGGATCTAATAGAACTGAAGGTTATGCAAAAGAAGTAGGCGAAGATGAATTCGGAAATAGATATTATGAAGACTGGGACGTAGATCGTAATATTTTTTTTTTTTATTTATAATTATTTAATTTAATAAATTAAAAATATTATTATTAATATATAAAAAAGACAAAAATTAAACTAGATGGGTTGAATATAGTGATTATTTTATGTTAATGTGGAGTAACGGTGATAAAATACCTAATAAATGGCATGGATGGTTATGTCATATGTATGATGATGTGCCAACCAGAACAGGATAATCAGCTTTTGTTAAACATCATTATTTAAAATAACATAAACAAAATTTATCTAATACTCCTTTAGGTTATATTTCTTAAGGAGCTATTATGAATCCTAATAGAATAAAATTTATGTAATTTAATATAATAATTATATATGGATTTTAATTATTTAAATTAATATATTAAATAAATAATTAATAAATAAAAATAAACATTTTTAACTAACTTATTTAATTTATTATTATAATATTTGATAAATAATTATAAATATATTATTTATTCAACTAATATTATATAATTTTATAAATTTTTTTAATTTAGATAGGGTTAAATTAACAGAAGTAGACAACCTTGGAATACTCCATAAAGAGGGGAAGGAGTTTTTAAAGGAAAAAAATTAATAATTTAAAAGAAAAATAATTTTATTGATTATATGGCAACAAATGATTGAGAAAATTAAAAAAAATTATTGCCAATAAAAAAATTAAGTGTTATTTTAATAATATTATATATTTAAATATTATAAATATATATATATTTACATATATATATCTATAAATAAAATTAATATTTAATTTTAACATTTATTATTTATAATATAATATTCTTTTATATTTTTTTATTATTTTTTTTAATTAAAAATATGTTTTTTTTAAAATATTTTAAATAATATTTTTATTTTTATCAAATTATAAATATAATAAATTAATATATATATAATTTTTTATTTTTTATTATTATTATATATTTTATTTTAAAGAATTATTTTATTTAACTATAATATACAATTTTTAAAATTATACAAATATAAAATTGTACATACTTATCAAATTCCATCAAAATTAGCTTTTCTTTTTTTATTAAAAGCGTCAATACCTTCTTTAGCCCCTGGTAAATTAAACAAACTATAAAACATTCTTCTTTCATATTTGATTCCCTCACTAATACTCAACTCTTCAGCCTAATTAGTAACATTTTTTCCCACAATTATGCTATAACTAGAATACATTGCAATTTTTTCAGCATATTTAATGACTTCTTCCCTAAGTTTATCATTAGAAAAAATACCAGCTACTATATTTAAATTCTTTGCTGTCTAAGCATCCAAGAATTCTCCACTTAAAATATAATAATTAGCTATTATTTTGCCTACAATTTTTGTAAATCTTTAAGTACCACCAATTCCAGGAATTAAACCTAATTTTATTTCTGGAAATCCAAATTTAGCTTCTTATGAGCAGAATATAATATCAGAACCTAATGCTATTTCCTTAAATATAAAAAAAAAAGTAATAAAAAATAAATATATTAATATATATAAATATACATAAATATATAAATATATATATATTTTATATATAATATATATATTTAATATTATATTAATCTATTTTTTTATTTTTAATTATACAAATCCTCCGCCTAATGCGAATCCATTTACTCCTGAAATTATTGGTTTTGTTATTTTAAAATATTTATTGTCATAATTTTCAAAAAGTTTACTTTTAATCAAATTTTCATTTGTTACATTTGAAAAGCGAGTAATATCGATTCCTGCACAAAAAGCTTTAGGCACATTAGATAATAAAATTATTACTTTTACACTTTCATCTTAATCGAGTTATTTTAAAGCTTTTAAAAATTGGCTTTCTAATTCTTTTGAAAGTGCATTTAGGTCTTTTGGAGAATTAAATGTTATTATGCCTATTCTATTATTAAATATATATTCGATTTAGACTTTTTTATCAGAATGAGTTGTTTTGTTTATGGATAATTGGTTGGAGATATGTTTTAATCTTTCCATCTTTTTTATTTTATTTTAATAACTTTTATCAATAAATAGTAATATATTGTTAATTTAATTAATAAAATATGATAATTTTTAATTTTTTTTTTTATATTATAATATCTTATTTTTTATATAAAAATAAAAATTTAAAGAAAAAAAAAATTTAATATTTTTTGTTTTACAAAAAAAAAAAAAACATATATAAAAATAAAAAACTAAAATGGATAATTTTGGAGAATTCTTAACAAAAAATCCAATAGTTATAGATAATGTAAAATAAAATATAAAAATGAGGATATTTAAAAACTTAAATAAAGGGTTCAGGTACTATGAGAGCAGGTTTAGCAGGAAACGATAAACCGAAATTACAATTTGATAATTAGTAAAAAAAAATATATCTAAAAAAAAATAAAAATATAAATAAAGTGTAGGAAGACCAAAATATAAAATGGTAATTCCAACAAAATCATAACCAGATTAATATTTAGGAAATATAACAGATGAATAAAGGGGGATGTTAAAATTATAATACCCTATAAATCATGGATGTATATAAAATTGGGATGATATGGATCTTATATGGAAATATTGTTATTGTGAATTATAAGTTTCTTAAAAAGAAGTACATAATAAAAATATATAATAAAAAATATATAATTACAAATATATAAAAAAATATATAAAATATATATATAAATATAAATATATATATATATATATTATATATTATAATCTTATTTTATTTAAGTATCCTGTATTATTAACTGAACCAGCTCATAATCCAAATACATAAAAATTCAAAATAGCACAACTATTTTTTTGAAAATTATAATACTCCAGCTTTATTTATAGCAGTCTAAGGAGTTTTATCTTTGTAATATAAAATATTTATATTTTATATTAAAATAAAAAAAGATTTGCAAGTGGAAAAACTACAGGTATAATTATAGAAATTGGAGACGGAGTAACTTAAATAGTTCCAGTTTTCGAAGGATACTCATTATAATATGCATAATAAAGAATTGATTTAGGAGGCAGAAATATAACAGAATATTTCAATTATTTATTAAGACGTTCAGGATATTATTTTCATACATCTGTAATTATTTTTTTTCTTTTTTTTTATAAAATAAAATAAAGGCTGAATTCGAAATAATAAAAAAAATAAAAGAAAAAAAATGTTTTGTAAGTCTTGTAAATTAAGGAGACGATAAAAATTATGATACTAGAGGAATAGTAGATACAGTTACACTTCCAGATGGTAATACTATGACATTAACATTTGAAAAATAAAAAGCCGCCGAAATTCTTTTTAATCCATCATTAATAGGATTAGAATATACATGTATTTATATATATTTATATATATTTGTATAATAATATAAAAAAAAAGCTATTTCTGATTTACTTATTAGATCAGTATAAAAAGTTGATATTGATTTAAGAAATACTCTATATTAAGAAATAATTATTTCAGGTGGTTGCACTAAATTAAAGGATTTTCCTAATAGATTCTTAAATGAAGTTAAAAAAATTGTGCCTAAATAATAAAAGGTTATTTTTTTTTTTATATCATTATTTTTATTTTTAATAAGGTAAAAGCTTATTCGCCTGAAAATAGAGAAGACTTATGTTGGATAGGAGGATCTATATTAAGTAACTTGGCATCATTTAAAAATATGTGGATTACTAAAAAAGTAAAATTATTTTAATTAGAAAATTTTATGTTTTTTTTTATTTTATTTTATTTTATTTTTTTTTGAAAAAGGATTATGAAGAATAAGGAGAAAGAGTTTTATTAAAAAATTCATTTTGAAAGAATTAAAATTTTATTATAAAATATATATATATATATATATTATTTTTTATTTTATATTAGAAATAAGTCATATTAAAATATAAAATCTTTTTTTTTTTTTTGATTATTTTATAAAATTAGCAATTTTAATAAATATAAAAATGTATAATTAATAATAAGGATTATAATAAAATTTAAATTAGAATGGGTAAATAATTTTAAATATTTAAAAATGTTTATAAAAAATAAAAATAGTACATATTTATATTTATCATTAAGTATAATAAATAAACAATTAATTATAAATAGCAAAATAGGATAGCAAAGAATATTCCAAATTACAATAAATATAAAATGTTGTTTAATGTAATTTAATATATAAATAAAAAAAAAAATATTAGATAAAAATTAAATTATAAATAAAAGGTTAATAGAAACAAAACGAAGCATAAATTAGTAAAAAAAAAAAATGTATAATTTAAATATTAAAAAATAATAAAAATAATACAGAAGAATATGATAGTGATAATGCTTATTACTAAGAATATTGTAGATTGCATTTAACAAACTAAATACTGAATAATTAAGTAATTTTTTTTAAAAAAAATAATATATGACATATATATATAAATATAAAAAAATATATGAAATAAATAATAAGATGAAAGAACTTATAAATGAAAAAAATGAATTATTGTAAAAATAATATAAATTAGAAGTATAAATTATTTAAAATATTTTGTAATTATTTTTAAAATTTAAAAAAAAGAAAAAAAATGAAGATTAAAATATAACAGATGAATAACTAGAAAATGATCAAAAAATTAAATAATAAAAAAATAAGAATATTTCAAGAAACTATATTTGTCCCTATGAAAATTGTGAAAAATCATATATGTTAATATATATATATATATATATATATATATATTTATATATATTTAATTATAATAATATATTATTATTTATAATAGATCTGAAAATTCTGTTAATTAACATATAAAATTAAGACATTAAAAACCTTTCTGATTATTTATTAATTAATATATATATATATATATATATATTTTTCTATTTTATTTATATAAATATTTAATAATTTAATAATAATTATTAATCATTTTATATATAATCCTTTTTTTCCTATATTTATGCCTTTTTTTTTTTTTTAATTTCTTATATTTCTATCAAATTTATTCAATTTATTTTTATTTTAAATCTATTATTTGAACATTTCTAGCTTCATATTCTTTTACATAATTAATGCATTATTTTTCATTATATTTGTATGTAATTTTTTATATTATTATAATACCTTATCTATATTATTATATGGAAAAAAAATATTAAAAATAAAATATTTATCAAGATTAAGCGCTTCACTAAATGTTTCTTAAAAAATAGGACTAATTTCATTTAATGATTGTATTTAAAAATCATTTTCTTTATTATTTTAAATTTAATAATCTAATTTATCTTTACTTTATTTATTAAAATTGTTCGTAGAATTATATTTACTATATATTTAATTAATATCATTTTAATTTTATGCTTAAAATTATTTAGAATTATATTCAGATTTATAATTAATGTTATTATTATATTAAATCATAGAATAATTTTTTAATTATTATTAACTAAATTACTTTATAAAATTAGTTTATTATTATTATTAATGTACTTATTATTAAATTTAATGTCCTTTTTGTTATTATTATTGCTTTTATTATTATATATTATGAGAATGTTAATTAGTTTTTTTTTTCTATTGAATTTTTTATATAATTAAGAAATCCATATTAAAAAATTACATTTTTTATAAATTTATAATTTTAAAATTTATTATTATCATCTTTTTTATTATTCTCATTGTTATTTTTAAAAGTTAATTTTTATTTGTTTAACTCTTTTTCTAAAAAAATTATTACTATTATTATTAATAATTTTAATTTAAATATTATTAAGTTTATTTAAAGGAATATTATTAAATTTAAGGTTAAAATTAAGTAATTTCCTTTTCTTAATTTTTATTATATTCCCCTTTTATATTAATATTATTATTATTATCTATAATTAAACAATCTTTTTATTCATTTTAAAACCCACTATTTAAATAATTAATACTCGATTAAAAATACTAGCATTTCGGTTCATTTTTTATATTATTTTCTTCTTATATTTCCGTAGCACTAAACGTTTTATCAATAATTAAGTGATCTTAAAGTAAATTAGCTAAAACATTTGAATTTTCCAAATCTAAACCACATGGATTAAACTCTATAATAAATCTAATAATAGAATCTTATACATTTTATTTTTAAGACAAAGTTTTAAATTAATAAAAATTGAATAATAAATAACTATTCTTATTTTTATTATTATTATTATTATTATTATTATTATTATTATTTTAATTAATTTGATGATTTGAATCATTATCTGATTATTACATAAATAATAATTATTCATTTATTGATTTTCTTTTTAGTTTCTTTCTTTCTTAATTTTCGCTTTTTTTAAATTATATAATATTTTTTCCCGATTAACTTAATAAGTCACTTAAGGACAAGAATTGCATGAATGAGAAAAAAGCCCACAAGTTTCACATTTCGAGTCTAATATTTAATTCAATCCTAAATTTTTAGCTTAATGCCTTATTTTATTATATATTTCAAAGTCATTCTTATATTTTTTTATTGTATTTAAGAAATCCTCTTTTTATAAAATCAGTACAGTAGATACACAAGTCGAAATAAATTATATGTTTTCAGTTTAATCAGTAATAAAGCATTTCTGATTAAAATAACTACCCTCTTCTATTATTTTTATCTATACATTATTATTCATTTATTATTATATCTATCCTCTTATAATAAAATACATGGAATTATTACTAAATTATAAATCTGAAGCCTACCAGACAATATCATCTGGTCTATATGTCCTTTCTTTCATTTCTGGAGCTAATTCTAACAAAAAGTCTTTAGAAAAATTTAATGAAAAAGTCTTATATTATCTCAATTACTAATAATTAATTTCTGATAATACTTATTTTTTTAAATTTAAATTTAATTCACTTAACATATGTTAACCATTTTCATTATAATTGTGTTTTTCCCAGTGTAAATATTTAAAATATTATTTTACCTTTAATAAATAAAATAATATATATATATATACATATATTATGTTATTATATATTAATTTTATTTTATTTATACATGTAAAAATATATATAATTTTAAATATATATAAATTTAAATAAATATATATAAAGTAATAAATATATTTATATATATATATTTTTTATATTTATATGTATATTAATATATATATTTTACTTTTCTTTATATTTTTAAACCTAAATTTCTTCTCTTCATATATTAGGAAAGTAATGAAAAATTCTATTTAAATTCAGTATCTTATTCAGTAATTTCTTAAATCAAAACACCTATCCTATTTAGTGTATAAGCGTAAATACCACATGAAAACACAGTTATAAAAATACAGGTTAGTTTTTCTAATTCATTATTAGGGTGTATTTCTCCATAACCAACTGTTAACATAGTAATAATAGCCCAATATAGTGAATTTATATATTTTGTCAGGAAATTTTCTTAATCTAAGTTAGCTTCTTTTATCCAATTTTATTTATTCATTTATTCAGTTTTGTAACCTACAAAATAAAAAATACACCCACAAAAATGGGCTATGAATAGTACAGTAAGACCTAATTTTAAAAGCTAATAATAAGACTATTCTTTTTTTGGTAAATTTATAACGTCTTCTATTTCGTCTATTAAAAAGTTTAATTTTATTAATAAACATAGTTATATAGGTAGAAGAAATTGATTATTGAATAAACTGTTTTCATCAACAAAAAAAAAAAATATTTACATTATAATATCTATCCAAAATTACTATTTTATATAATTTAAAGCAATTTTTTTTCTTTCATTTACTATTAATCCTTTATAATAACAAGAAGTATTAAATTTTATTATATTATCAAATAAAAAAATTAATTTAGGAAAATAAGATACAAATTAGTTAAAACGACCTTATGAATATTATTCAAAACTAAGAAAATAAATAAATATAAAAATAGATACATATATAACATATATACATATATACATATATATAACATATATACATTATATACATATATACATATATATATATATACATATATACATATATACATATATACATATATACATATATACATATATTTTATAAATACTCAAAAAATGTTATATATATAGGAATCAAAAATTATAACCATAAACTAAATACAATTAATAAAATATTCCACATTTTTAGAATATTAGAATCTGATTGAAAAACTTCGAATGTTTTTTCAATAAAATTTAGTACTTTTCTTATTATTTCAATTTATCTTATTTTTGCTGTAAACTTTTACAATTATCCATACTTTTTTATATAATAATATTTATTATATATATAAAATGTATAGTTTTTATTTTAGAATACATATTATTTTAATAAATATTTTTTTACATATTATAAAATATTACTTTTGTTTTTTTATATACGCTATAAAATGATGTTTTATCACTAATAACTTAAAATTAATAATCAGTTAAATTATTATATCTTCTTATAATGGATAAATTTAACATTTTATAAATAAATCTTCTTATATGCACTAGAATTAAAAACTATTTTTTTTTCCAAAGTCCTTTAAATCCAATAGTTTAAGATTTTGGATAAAATAATTGATTTTAATCTTCTTTTTATGAATTATCATTTCTCATATTTGAATCAATAGGTGAATTATTTTAAGTAATATTATTTATAATTTCCATTCTTTTATTTTTTGAAATACTCATTAATGAATTGTATAATTTATTTTGATTAGTTATTTCTTTTTGCGACAAAATAGTTTTCTTTTTTAACGAATTATCTAAATCTGTTTAAATTTATGTTTATTTTATATGAGTATGTGATTCGTTAATTAATTTATATAATGGTTTATTCGATATAAATAATTATTTTCGAGTTTAATCTCCATTTCTTAATGATAATGTTGATTTATAAGTGTTTTGGAACGTTTAATTATTATAAAGACTCATATATAATTTATTATACCTATGTGTTTTTTATATATATAATTATATATATATAAATGTAATATAATTGAGTTTATGTTTTTTAATTTTTAATTTTTTAAATTATTTTTTTAGTAAAAATTTATTTGAATAATTTAATTAAGTTATTTTTGAATTTTTACTTTTATTTTTAATAATTAATTTTGTTAATAATAAAAATAATTTTTACATTTAATTTAAAAATAAAATAAAAAAAATTAAATTTTATATCATTAAAATAATTATTTTTAAGACTTATTTTAATATTAATAATTAAAAAATTATTAATTTAGTAAATATGTATATTTTTTATTTAATTATTTATAATTTTGTTATCTTTTTTATTAAAATAAAAAAATATCTTTGATAAATTTATTTATAATATAAATAATCAATAATATTTATATAAATAGTTTTACTTATTTAAATAAGAATTATTTAACCTAACATATTAAATAAAACAAATAATTCGTTTATCTTTAGAATAATTAAATATATTATATAAAATTAATAAAAGAAAATAGATATAACAATATAATAATAATATAAGTTAACTTTATCTTTATATGAGAAATATTCAAAATATATTTTTTAATAGAAAATATATATTAATTTAATTTAACACTTATTAAAAAATAAAAATTAATATATCAATAATCTTTTATTTTAACAATTTTTTTTTTTTTTTTTCTTATAAGCAAATTAAAAAATAAAACATAAAAGTAAAAAAATAAAAAATGGATACCTGGATAATAAAAATACTAACAATGTTAATAATGTTTGCCATGATAATGATAACTGGTAATATTCCTTTACGTTTACATTCATTTAAGCAAAACCTTAAGGTACTAGCTTTATCATCTGCCTTTTCCGGTGGTTTATTTCTCACAGTTGGTTTAGTTCATTTACTCCCCGAAGCAAACGAGCATTTCGATAAATATTTTAAAGAAATAAACCACGGCGAAGACTAGGAAAATTTTCCTTGGGCATTCGTAATAACCCTTATGAGTTTCAGTTTAATTTTATTTATTGAGAAAGTTGCTACTGACCACCATGAACATGATGCAAATAAAGCGTCTCATTTAAAAGCTTCGATCCTAAATAGAAATGCATAATAACATCATTAATCGTAATTAGTTGATAATGTAAATATTGATTCTCGCTTTCAATCTCATTTAAATGATGAAGATGACCAAGACGAAAATGACTAATCAGACGAATAATTCCAAGAAAACATAATTCGTTAAAGCCTTAATCCGAAAAAATAATTTGCTTCAAAAATATCTTTTATGGTTTCTGGAAAAAAAAAAGGCAAAATAAATCTCGCACCATATCTATTATAAGTCGCTGTAGGAATACATGCTGTATTCGAGGGATTAGCTATTGGAATCGAAAATGACTGGCTTAAATGTCTTACTTTAGCCGCTGCTGTTTGTTGCCATAAATGGGCAGAAGGACTTACTTTAGGATTAGCATTTAGAAAGGCAAATGTAGATCTCAAAATGAGTAGTATAATGATTGCGATTTAGGCTTTAATGAATCCTATAGGAGTTGGACTTGGCTTAGCTTTGAGTGATTAGGGAGAACTTATTACTGGTATTTTTATGGCTATTAGTACTGGGACATTTATATATATTGCTACTTTGGAAGTTTTGGTGGAGGAGTTTAGTGTTAAAAGATATAAATTTGTTAAATTCTTGTTCTTTTTAGCCGCGGGGGCTTTCATCACTTCTTTGTGGTTTTTGGAATAGGTAACAGGAGGTTGAGTTTAATATGTATTGCTTGTATCTTCTACTATTACATTTTTAATGAATTTTTTGTTTTGTTTATGTTTATGTTAATTTTTTTATTTTAATGTTAATTTTTTTTTATTACTTTTTAAAAGTTTTAACGATTAATTTATTTTTATAATAATAAAGTAAAAATAAAAAATAAAAATAGAGTAGGTCAATAAAATAAATATTTGGATTAGTTTTTAATTTGTATGTACGTGACAAAAATATAATATTATATATATTTTTGTCTAAAATATGTCATCTATTTATTTATGGTTTGTCATCTATTTATTTATGGTTTGTTATCATTTCTTTACATAAATATATTCATAATAATTGATTTAATTAATTATTAATAATAAAAAAAAAAATTAATTATTAAAAGTTAAATATAAATTAAATTTTTAAAACAAAAAAAAAATATATATAATAATTATATATTTTTTTAATTAAAAAATATCTATAGATAATAATAATATTTATACCTTTTAGAATTTTTTTTATTTAAATTATATTAATTTTATAAAGCATTAAATTTAATAAAAATTTATATATTTATTCATTTTTATTTAAAAAAATATATATTTATTGCCTTTATTTAATAAATATTTAAATTTTTTAAATAAAAAAATGAAAAATGTTAATTTTGGTATATTATAATTTAAAAAATAAATTTTAATTGAACTAAATTAAATTAATACTATACAATAATATTAATTTTTTAGATTAAATCTAAAGATACATATTTTTTTAAGTAGTTTATTTTATTAAGTAATTTTATAATTTGTTATATTTAAATATAATATTTATTAAACTATAAGTTTACTTTATTTGAAAAATATATTTTTTCTATAAAAAATAAAATTTATTACTTAAAAATGCAATGTATTTTAAAATAACATAAATTTTTTCTAATTTTTAAATAATTTAATAAAATTTTATTTATAAAAATAAATCAAAGCAATTAATTTAAATTTAATAAAAATAATAAAACAAATTTATAAATAAATATACCTGTTTAAAAATCTATTATTATAAGCATACATTTATTAAAATTTTAACCAAATATATTAATGTTTTTGATTTACTAATTTTTGAAAAAATATTATTTACAGAGATTTTGTTATTCACTTCATCTATACAAAAGAGGTTTGATTCTAAGTTACTTTTTATTATTTCTAAAATTCTTTTATAACATATAACTTAGCTTAAATTCAGAATTATTCAAAAAGCTTAATTATATAGATTTAAATATAAATTATATTCAAACAGATTTTTTTTAATAATAGATAAAAATGAATAAAATTGATTTATCTATTATTATATTAGTTTTTAATATTTTTATTTTAATTTTATTTTTTTTAGATTGTTTATGTTTTAAAAAACTATAATATACATACAGCTTTATTGTTTAAATATATAATTATGTAATATACATACCTTTTATATATATAAGCCTAACAAATATAATATTAAACATGAGCATAATTAATATAATAAACTTGACTTTAACAAAAATAATTGGTTTTATTATAATATATATATATATATATATATATATATATATATATATATATATATATATATATATATATTTATATATATAAATAATAAAGGTTTTACCATTGCACTACATGATTAATAATATAGTTTTTTAAAAAAAGATTATTTGAGTAAAAGTAATTAATGTAAATGGGATATTTTAATATTAATTTGTGAGTTTTTTAATATTTTCTAAAATATAATTTTTAATGAATATCATATAATCTTAACTATTAATTTTTTAGTATAATTAATAAAAATTTTAGATAACTTAATACATAAATAATTTAATGAAAAAAATATTAATAATATATACTTATAATTACAAATGATTCATTTATTCTATTTAATTTAAATTACAGTATCAATAATAATAGATAAAAAATAAAGTATTTTAATTAACTTATTATTTATTATATTATTATCTTGTAAAATAACTAAATAAATAACAAATTAATAATATAATTTAAATGAACAATTTTTGTAAATAATTTCTTAAACAAATAAAAAAATAAAAGTTGATTTTTTTACAAGAAATATCTTATATTAATTCAAAAAAGGATAAAAAATAATTAAACATAATTAAAATTCAATAATTATAGAATAAATTTCAATATATCATAAAATAAATTGCTAATAATAATCAGAATGTTTCTGTAAATAGCAAGTATTATTTAATTTATATAAATAAATATAAAATTATATATATATATATATATATATATATATTTATATATTAAATAAAAATATATAGGAAAATAGTTTTCATAATAAATATAAATTTTTAATTTAATTTCTTTAAGATAAATATTATTTTTAAATATGCTAATAATTTCATAATTAATTTAAGTAATATGATGTAAATCTTCTTTTTACTTTCGTTTTTTTTACCTTAGAAATTAAATAATCTAATTTAGAATCTTTTATAACTTTATTTTAAATTAAATAAAAGTTTCCTTTTACAATTCGGGAACGCAGTATAATAGCTGAAATATATTCAATAGCTTTAAAATATTAAAAAAATAAAAAAAAAGCTGAAAAATATGACTCTAATAAAAATAATAAATATAAATACGCCAATTTTAAAAAAGGCTTGAAATTTGATGATAATATGAAAATAATAATATCTTAATTTGAAAAAGTAATAATGGAAAGAGAAAATATTATACTTTTGCTAACCTAAGACTGTCTAAACTTAAAGGATTTTTAATAAAAAGCTTTATAATATTTAAAAATGCGTTCCGAATTAAAACGAAAACTTAAATAATAATATAGAATTTACAAAAACAGTAAGAAATTATCATCTTTAATTTAAAATTTTTTCTTATACATTTCTTTTAATAACTAAAATAACAAATTTTTCAAATAAAAAGAAAATAATTTTCTAAACGAAAAAAAATAAACATCAATTAAATTTTCGATTAAAACAATTGTATTTTATACATTAGTCTAACTGGAAATTTCGGTTAAATTAAAAAATTTTAATGGAAATTCTAAAGAATTTTTGGTTATGAAAACTCTTTTATTGAAGGCAAAAAAATTAACGAAATTATGCCTGAATTTATTTCTCTTTAACATGATAATATATTACAAAATTACATTAAACAATAAAAATAATAACAGAATATAAATAAAGACTAATTACCATTAATTCTAGCCTAAAATAGTAAAGGATTCTGTATACCAATGACTCTTTAATTCAAAACTTGCCAATTATAAAGCGATTTCGGACTTATTGGTCTTCTAAAATTGCTAGAGGAATAAAGTTAGTAGTTTCTTTTAGTAAGCTTAGATTAGTTTAAAGTAGAAGGTTGCTCAGAATTTTTTTTTAATTAAATTCTGGGTGAACATATATCTTAAAAGAATATAAAAAACATTTATTTATGTAAATTTTTGCCTATTTTTTTATTTTTGAAAGAAAAATAAAATAATAATATTGAACAAAATGTAAAAATTTATTTTATATAAAAAAAATAAAATATATAAAATTTTTTTTTAATAAATAAAAGGAAAATTTAAATGAAAAAAACTTCTTTTTAAAGGAAAAAAATGATATTTAAAGTTTGTTTTTTTTACCTAAAAAAAAATATTTTCATACAAATTTCCTTTTTTAAAACTTTGAAAATATAAATGAAGAACTTAACTAAATAAATATAAAACTTTTTGATTTTTTTTAAATTTCTTTTAAATTTTATCATATAAAAAATTTATTCTTGAATTTTATCATTATTTAAATTTAAGATTATAATAAAATCTAAAATAAAAAAATACTAATTTAAAATTTAACAACATTATAATATTAATTTGAAAAAAATTTAAACATTTAAATTAATTTCTTCTAATAAAAAAGTATAAAAGTTGACCTTAAACTCATTGTAAATAGCGCAATAACAAAAAATTAATAATCCTAAAAAAAATAATATAAAAGATCTAATAAAAAAAGCTAAAAAAAAATATTTTTCACATAAATAATTCAAGATAGCAATATATAGGAATAAATATAAGAAAATGAATTTTCTTAATAAAATAATGAGTAATAAAATAAAATATAATAATCATAATAGTAGACATAATAATCAGAAATAGTTTAAAATTCAAATATAATAATAATAATAATAATAATAATAATAATATTAATAATATTAATTATAATAATAAAATAATTCATTTTAAATTTCTTAAAATAATGGTTTTAATGTTATTTCTAATTTATTTTGTAATATAAATAATTTTTAAAATTAAAACATTATTAATAATTAATTAATTAATTAATCAATTGATTTGTAAAAAGAATAAAATATATAATTAAAAAATAATTTTCTTCTTAATAAAGATGTCTCAAATTTTTTATCAATTTCAGATTAATAAAAAATCCTTATAAACAAAAACTAAATTCTATAAAATGTTTAACAAATTAAAAATTAAATGCTAAATATAAATAAAATTAACTAACAAAACTTTTTCCAATAAAATTCCCAAAATAATGAATCAACTAAATATTACGAAGAATTTCACGCTAATGCCTATCTTAGCAAAAATATAAAAAGCTCTATAAACACTAATAAAGCTCATTTTAATCATCAAAAACAAATTATAATAAAGAAAATTAAAACCAATAAAAAAAGCAAGTCTTTATATGCAATTAATTATTTTGGTATTATCTCCTTTATATTTTTAATTCTTCTTACAATTTTTGTCTATTTATAAATTAAAGATTAATTTTCTAAAATAGAGATTGAATTCCATTATCTTCCTTGGGCTAATTCAATAAAATACGAAATAAGTTAGATTCTGGCATACACAGGCTTTTCTAAATTTACAGAAACAAACATATTCCCAAATTTAAAAAACAACAAAGAAAAATTTTAATAAAAGATACGAAATTCAAATAAAACTCTTTTTTTACTCTTATTAGATTACGTAAATTCCCAAGGACAAACATATTTCCAATATCTCTTAAATAATTAATAATATTTCATTTTTACAAAAGACAT